AAATGTATCTGTTGCAAAGTGCTGGCAGTAAATTTTCAAAATAGCTCTGTACAACGGACAGAACTAACTTTCCTTTTGTTCTTCTGGCAGTATGTCTCTGTAGAGTCTGGCAGAGACATTTAACAAAACAGAACAAAACTTTATTTTCTCCTTGTACTGGTGTGATGCTGTCAGCCCTAGCATCTTTTGGAATGCCCTGGTGCACTTAGAATGGGCTCTGTGAGCTCACAGGAGGCTGGAACAACGGTCTGCAGATGGCTGAAGTGGGCAGGGCTGCAACCTGGAGCCACACCAGCCCTACTCGGAAGGAAGCCTGTCTGTTTATCAAATTGACAGCAAGGCAGCAAAGGGAGCAGCTGAAGCATCCTTTGCCAAGGACAGGCATAATGCAGAAAAATAAGTCATTGCTGCTAGTGAATAAATATATTTCTGGTTCAATTGGTGGACAATATCACTAGTCATCTAAACTAATGGACAGTAAAGAATGGCCAAGATTTACATCCTCCAAACAGAGCTGAAAATAGGTTTATCTAAAGTGAGTTACTGAGTTGGAGTCAGACTTGCTGGCCTCATACAAGGAGGCCATACACTAACTAGAATCTTACTTCCATCCCAGGATCTATTAAAACCCTCACCCTAAAGAACACGCAAGGTACCATGGGCTTTTCCAGATCATGAGTCAAGTTTACCCAGCTTTAGATTAGAATCTTCTCTTTTCCATATGGTTCAAAGTACACTGGCAAGAAGCTATTACTGTTTACACAGACTTCAACTAAGTAAATTCTGCAAGACAATGTTGGAGACACTACTGCTGCCTCTCAGAAGAGTAGCTTACAATGTATTCTGAAACAAGATGAGAAACATTTGCACTATTTCTAGCTCCTATTTCACCACCACTACCAAAAGCCATTTTGCTTGGGTAAGCCAATATTACTACTAAAATATTGAAGGCAGGGTAATGGATTGTCATTCCTCTCCATATTGTATGCTTTCCTAAAATCATTGATAGCACCACTGCTATTGGAACTTTACATGTATTTACGAGATTATTTGATCAACGTTATCCCCACCACCAAACTATAAACTCCACGAAGCCAGGCTGTGTCTCTTTTTGCTCACCTGTTACAGTCCACGATACACAGAACATAACCAAAACATATTTGTTGAATGATCATTATTTAACAGGATCATTTTCAATGCTTTTACATTAGTTAGTCATGATGTGCTAAGAATTGGGTAATAAATAAAGGAACCAAGAGTGTAGGCTCTAGTCTTGAGAAGTTTACATGCTAAGATTGTTCTAGGTAACAGTGAAATACTGACTATCCACACACTCCACCCCAGCATTCCCTGTCCATTTCTTTCCCATGGCATTTACCACCTTCTAGAATACTATACAATTCACTTTTTTTTGGTTATTTCCACTCTGTCTCCCCTCACTAGAATTTCAACTGCAGGAGCAGGAGTTTTTCATCTGTTTTGTTCATGGATGTTATCTCCCTGCTTAATAATTATACTAATTGATCATTTCTTCCTCTCTGAAACACTTCCATATTTCTGATCTGGCCACCTTTTCTCTCCTCCCTTATCTCCTACCTCACTCACTCCATTCCAGCCGCATGGACCTCTTCATTTGTTCCTCAACCAAGCCAGGCAGCTTCAGCCTCAGGGTCTTTGCACTTGCCATCCCTTCTCAGTAGGAGGCTTTTCCACCAGTCACCCCCATGGCTCACTCTCTTACCTCCTTCAGATCTTTGTTCAAAAGTCACCCTGACAGCAAAGGCTTCCCTGATGACCTTATTTAAATTTGAACTCCCTCCTTCCCTGCAACACACACACATACTCTTGGAACTTGCCATCTTCCTGCCCTGCTTTTTCTTCATAACATTCATCACGGTCTAATATACAATATTATTTGTTGTCTGTCACTCTCCCTCCCCACCCCCAGACACACTAGAATTCTACACTCCATGAAGGCAGACATTATCCTCTCCTTTGCTCACTAACATATCCCCAAAATCTAAAAAACTGTGTCATACTTGGCACTCAATAAATATTTGTTTAATAGATGAATTATCATAAAAGCAATTTTTGTACATGAAACACCAGCTTTTAGAATGTTCTACTTTAGTTCAGAAATCATACACATGATTATAAGAAGACGTTTGAATTTCAAATAAGAAGTTGAATATGAAATAAAAAGTATAATAAGAAACAGGTGGCTTGGAAAGGTTAAGTAATACAAGGCATACATCTTTGCTTTTTGATGAATACACTGCTGGAGTTTAGGTCGTTGATAAATTTTGGCTTGAAAATCTCTAAGCAGTTGTTTGCTATCATATGCTATTTTTGAAGGCAGCAATCAACACACACAGACACACACACACACCAGCCTTCATGTACAAGATTGCCTCTGGTGCCCAGGGAAAATGAGAGGAAATGACTTTTAAATGGCTAAGGAAAGTATTCATGATTTATTAGTTCAGTGAAACAGCAGAGCAGGCACCCACTTAACAAAGCGGGCAGAACCAACCTTAACCAGGTAGATGCCAACGTGGAGACTTGTTGACCAAATGCCTACAGTTACAGCTGTGTGATCATGAATGATCCTGAGAATCAGAAACCCCCACAGTAATACTATGACACCTTCCTTTTCCTCTCCCGTCAGTCTGGAGACAGGAAATTTGCAGGGAATCATTTTCTCCCTGTGAGAACCAATTCAAGTAGACATTCTCCCTTCCATCTGGGGACTCCCGTGTAGGATTTGGAAGAGTAGAAGCAATTGTTTGCTCTCTTTGTGATCAGCATAGAATCACATCACTTCAGAGCGCGAAGAGACTCTCATTATCAAGCCCTCCAGTCGCAGCATTTTATGAAGGAAAAACATGAACTAAGACAAAATTTCCTCTGCTAACTTGGAGGGAATACCTCAACTAGCCTCAAGATCTCTGAAACCCATACCACTGTCCTCTCTCCACACTAGAGTGTCCTTGCTGGTGTCCTAGTTAGATTTCCAGAGCAAGCACTCATTTCAGCCTGAATTAGTGCCTGCATGCAAATCTCTGTGTGTATGCACAGGTAGAGAGACAGAGGGATAGATGTAGATAAACACAGATACGCTATACATAGAAAATCAATATCATAAACTTCATTGATCTTGTTTGTTTTTCAATAAAGAGAAGAATGAAGGAGAAAATAGAAAATTTTCCATAATCTCACAGCCCTGATAACACCTGTTGTTATTTAAATCCTTCTATTTTTAATGCTTTTATGTCTTCCATCTTAGTAATATAAATATAGTCACCATTTCTTCACCAGTTACTGTGTGCTAGGTCCTGTCCTAGGTGATTCATTTATGTAAACCTCACAACTACCCTATGATGTAGGTATTGTCAGCCCCATTTTATAAGGAAAGGATGGAAGTTCAGGAAGTTTATTCAGAAAGTAACTTGGCCAAAGCCAAACAGCCGGGCGTGGCTGGGTCCTTCCTCAAACCCAAATCAGTCAATGTCCAAGGTCGGTGCTGTTCATACTGCCCCACAGTGCATCCCCACCTTTCCTCCAGGAAATGAAACCCTGGTTGCCTTCCTCACCCCAGAGAGATACTTAAACCCTATATTTATGAGGACAGCTAACAATATCCCAATTACAGTCGCTATATTTAGATTAAGATGAAGTAACATCATTAAGATTTGAATAACAAACTTGATTGCAAGTTTAAAACTATTAAACTATTTAAGATTATTTTATTTTTCAACCGTGTTTTTGACAACCAACCTGAGCCAAGCCCTCTGGGCAGGGAGCTGTGCTTCTCCTGCTGCCAGGTGAAGACTTTAGCATCTTGTGGAGAAGCAAGCATCTCAGTGATTTTTCTTGTCCGTTGCCTGCCTAGAACGCCTTACTCCAAGCAGAACAGATTTGTAGATTCATAAGGGAAGGTTGGCTGAACCAGGCATGACATGGTGGCTTCTTTTGCAACAAACGGGCAGAGCTGGGAGGAGGCTCAGCTGTGCTCTTCCACAGAGGTGGTGCAGGTGAATCACCAGGGCTTGGCCCAAAAATGCGGCTGGGATTCCACGCACGGCACCTCTCCAGAAAAGGGCATGGGGGCAGGCAGAAATGTCCATGCTCCTTCAAATCATTCATTCCCGGCTTCTACACCCCACCCCCAAGTCAAGGAAAGATTTCTTGTCAGAACCTTTGGCAGCCAAATCACATGACTTAAAGAGCTTCCTGAAGTCTTGCCAGAAATAGCCAGTGGGCCAGAGTGGGGTATTTCAACCTCCTGGGATCCAAACTCAGAAAGAGCTGGAGATGACTTTCCAGAGCTCCACCCTCCCGGCTCTGAGCCACTTCTGCATTCTCCTCTCTGGGGAAGCTTGAAGGGTGGAGGCCTGGAAGAGGGAAGGAAATCTTTGTGTCTGCTCTTTATCTATTGTCCCATCATTCCGGCGACAGCCAGTCTTTATTTTTTTAAACATTAAACACGTAAACAGCATTGCTTTATTTTTCTTTACAGGAGATAATGCTCATTATGAAGGGAAAAAAACCTTCTTTGTTACTTCCAAAGGAAACAAGACGTTTAGTTTTGATTTCAAACTCAGAGGTATCAGAATGGCAAAGTGAGTTCTCCCTTTCCTACTTAAATTATTCTGTTTTTCATTTTCCTAGTTTCCCACTGGCAGAGAATGCAATTATTGCCATGCTTTTTTGACTAGCTAGTTGGCTCTTTCTTATGAAAATGTGAACCATAAGTTGAAGAGGCTACTTGGCTGGTCTGTCTATGGTGAGCTCTTCCACGCCATAGGTCACTAAAACGCTCTTGGTAAGATTTCCTTGTAATTTCCTTGAATTGTTCTCAGAAGCCACAATTTATTAAATTGCCTCTACTGAACTACATAGCATAATTCATTCCAGGAAATTTCCTTTTTAATATTTTTCACATCAAACCATCTTAAGTCTACTAGTTATGTTCAAATGTTTACACATACACAACTCACCGTTGATGACCAGCAGCCAAAAAGTCTCAGAGGTGTGACCACTGTATACATTTATACATATACAAGCATGCACATGTATAGATCTGGGAAGGTTAGTGCACTCAATCAGCTGGCATCGATGATCTCTGCTTTGAGCAAATCGGAATATTTTCAGAATGTTGTCATAAATGGAAACATGGGTGACAGTTATTCTGTATAATACAAGATATCTCTATATTAACTGGGAGAACAACATGGATGCTAATAAATGTAGTTCACTGAAGTTCAGCATTATTAATGTTCTTTTTCTTTTCTTTGTTCAGTTTCTTCCCCAAATTAAAATGCTTTGCTAAATATGGTCTTGTTTATCCATTTCTTTCTCAGTCATTTAGAATGGGGTGTACATGTTCCTGTTTTCTATTTAGTGAACTCAATCACAGGAATTTAAACATGTATAGAAGCTAAGAAAGAAGATAATACCTCTTAGTATTCTTAAACACATTGTCCTTCTAGAACCCATTTTTATCACCAAATAATACTTACAGCATTCTAGAACAGAAAGTATCCTCCTCATTATAGAGAAAATGAGTCACAGAGAACTCAAGCAAGTTGTTACACAGCCATTGATAAGATAATAGAACTCAAAAATCCTATTGCTGTTATACGTTTTTTCCATATTCAAATAGAGGGAAAGCTGTAGCAAACTTGGGTCAAAAATGTAAACTCTCAGGGAGAATAATTTTTAAACTGGAAAAGCCTACACTTGATACTTTCTTCAATATACCACTGTGCTTAATGCTAAGAAGAAACAAAATGTTCCTTTATGGAGATATAGCCCATTTCATTCTGAATAATTCATGCTCTTTAAGATACATGTAGACCAAAATCTAACTTTCCTTGCAAAGTACATAGTCTTCCCAAAGCAAGTTGGAAACTGGCTTTGTGAAGCCACGGAAGCTTCTAGATTTCATCTGTGACACCTGCATGCTATACTTAGCCATATGGCAGAATACCTTTGCCAGTGAAGACGTTTGGGAAAATAATTGCTCCACAGGCTCCCAAGCTCTGCCCTGCATACCTCACTTCTGCTGGACCACTAGTGTGAAGAGAACAGGCGATGCCAGAATTGTGAAAGAAATCACAGAATCTCCAGGCTCTAAGAGAACTTAAATTTCATCCAGTCCCACTACATCAAAGCAATCTGCAAGGATCTTTGAAAAGTATTTTAAAGTAAGATAATCTTACAAATTCAGAAGGGATAATGGCAGACAAACCACCATGGTAACTATAGTGGTTTCTCTATAGTGGTATACAGCTTTAAATATACCAAAGAGAATGTGCTTGGAACTCAGAAAAAGCACACCGAAAAGATCTTGCTCTTCTTTGAAATTCGAGAGGCAACAATTCCTTCAACACTTTCCAGTACTTCTGCAATTCAAGGGCAGGTGTTACACATTTTGGATTGCTTTTTTCTCACTCATGTGTTCAATAATATTTACGTAATCCCTACTATTTGAAAGATAATCTATCAAACTGAAGATTAACAACCACTGCAAAAGTCATTTCTGTTCCCGGAAGACTCTCCACTCAAACTTTTTTAAACCATATCCCCATAAATGAGCACACATCGTATACACTTCTGCTTTTCAGAAGACGAAAGTATTTCATAGTAACAAAGACTGAAGGAAAATTCATGAAAAATGATAAAAATTTTGGAAATTCTTAATAACTCCCTAGTTACTGTTACTAGAGTAAACAGGCACAAAAATCTGATAGATACCTGAGCCCAGATACAAAACACCAGAGTATTGGTTAGCATGAATAAAGAGAGGTGAGAATAAAGAGAATAGAGAATGAAATCCCGTGAAAACGTTAAAGTAGGTGCTGAGGAAAGTTTCAGTTACTGACCTATAGGAAGATTCTGGAAGGGCAAAGAGAGGGAATTGTGTGAGGAGGTTTTCTCTGGCTCAAGCCGAGCTGTGGTCCTCATCACCCTCTCCTTCCCCAGCACAAGGAGTTTCTGACACTTCTCTCCAGGGCTAGAGCTGGGGCTCCATCAGGAGCTCTCAGAGATGCATGTTCCCTGAGTTTGGAAGGCTTGGGAGACCGGAAGCAGACTCACCTGATAAACTTCAAGCAGCCCAGGGCGGCACAGAGAGGGCTGCAGCTAGGAGGTAAACATGCTTTTCTCCAACGTTGGGTCAAAGAGGCAGGTCCCAGGGATCAGATGTAGAGCCCATACTAGGCATGCCAGGCAGAGGGCATGCAAAATGGAATTCTGCCTAAGAGAACAGACTGCCAAGGTGAAGGGACCACAGGAGTGAGAGGCTGAGAACAGAACATAGGGGGCATATCATGAGTGCTCTCAGCAAGTATATGTGCCCTGAGTCTTAGACCTTTATCATTAATTCTCCATGATTCTCACTTGCAAACACCCTGCCAACTTGGCACGTCCAGAGACTATGGAATGTCCCAGTAATGAGATCACTGAGAATCTCAAGTCGATATGGCAGACAGAACTGACAGAGAAGGACTCTCCATTATGGAAAAATGAAACTCTACAAAAGCAAAATTTGGATACATAGCCAAATTTGAAATTCAGAGTATGAAATCTCTGAGTGTGAAAAGAGGAACCAAAGTCAGGAAAGAGAATAGGAGCTTAAACCAAAGTAGCTCATGGTTTACACCCTTAATGGATATAAAACAACAGGAGCAGGGGCTTTAGAATCATCACAAGCGGAGGGGTTCAAAATGTCAAAAATATTATTAGTTAATGTATAATCAATATTAAAAAATTATTGAGATATGTTACATTTCTTTCCCATACTAAGTCTTTAAATCTGATTTATAGTCTATACTTGCAGCACATCTCAATTCGGACCGGTCACATTTTAATTGCTTGTAGCCATGTGCTACTGTCTCATGGGTATCTAATTGGACAGAACAAACCTGTACTCAAATGGCAAACCATATGATTTGAGAATTCTTTGGCCTTTGCAGACACTAGTTTATCATATGTGTTTCTTCATTTGGCCTTTGGGACAGGATGAAGATTTATATAGGTATTGCCATTTCGTCTGCATTCTACGTCTTGCAAGATGGTGACAAAGCTTCAGTTACCTTGCTGACAATTTCTAAGTCTTTTCCAACCAGATGTAGGGGCATTAATTTAGCAGCCAAAGTTCTGTGATGCCACATAGTTGATGGCGTCTGAAAGAGTCACCTCTTTACTTTTCATGTTAGTGTTTGCACAACAGAGGTTCTCTACAGTCATCTCTATTCCCCGAGAGTTTCATGTTGAAATAACAAAACGGCCTAGATCCACCTCAAGATAAATTGCTTTAATTATTAGGCAGATTGTGAAGCTCACAGTTTCAAATATCAGGTCAGCGCAATGCCCAGCCTCGGCAGTGGTTTCACTGTGATATTTCTCCAGGTGCTACTATTGAACCTTAATATCAGTGAAATACCTCCATTTAGGACTAGTTTTATCTGTGGGATTTGTTCAGTTCTTCAACAGAATAAAAGTGATCTCAATAATTGTTGAAGGAGGCTATTATTTTCCAACGTTGCAATATTTGCTATTTGACATTCTAGTCTAATTGTCAGCATTGTTGCTAATATCTATGGAAATCTCGCAAAATAATGATTTTTTAGGTCTTAGAATTGATATAATGAAGCAATATGGATACTTATCAACTCTTGCATTTTTAATACTTATGTGAGATCATGGAAGAGAATATAGTGATTAAGACTAACAGCACATGGACTGAAGTCAGACTACCTGGGTTTGAATCCCAGCTTTACTACTTAACAGCAGCGTGTCTGCACCTCAGCTTCCTGAGCTTCGAAACGGGAAAATATTAAAGTTACAAAGAGGATTACACAAAGTAACATAGAAGGTGCTTAACACAGCGCCTAGCACTCAGAAGTATTTCATAAACATTAGCTAGGTCATCTGCAGGTTCCTAATTCCTTCATGCACATTTGGGAGCATTGAAAAAACTGACCATCTGACAGCATTTCTAAAGCTCTGAAGACAATTCTCTCCAAAGGAAATTCCAGTTGACCTGCCTCTCTCTAAAACCTTCATCAGAAAGGTTTCCCTAAATGTGACGACATCGACTTCCTTTCTAGATATTTACTATGCAACAATGCTAACATTTTGATTTGGAAACTCCCCCACTTAGAACCTATTATCAAGAATCAAGCCAAAAATTAAAGTTCTCTGAACATAACTGGCATCAGCTGGTGGAGTAACCCAGTTTTGATAGGTCACTTTCCCTAATCTTGTCATTTTGAATCAGGAGGAGGCATTGTAAGGCCAAAGATTTTTTAATTTTCTTTTTCCTAACTATATAATTTTTTGGTAACACGTGTTCAGAGTAAGGGGAGGCCACGTCTGAATGGAGTAAATGGAATAAGAGGGTTTGTCAGCATGGTACTCAGATGGGAGTTTCATCCCAAGGCATCTTGTCCTCTTCTCTTTACTGTGAAGATGTTACTCACCTTTAGACGCTCACCTGTCCGGGCGAGCAATTCTCCCCTCTCTTGCCATTTAGATTTATACTTCCTCTGTTTGAGGTTCTTGTTCATTACAACTGTAAATTTCATGCTCACACTATCCATCTGCTGAAGTTTTAGCATTCTGGAGCTAAAATTGCACTTTCAGAGACTTTTGTCAATTAATTGAGAGTATGGTATAAAACTAGACAAGTTTTTTGCAATTTTTCTCATAAACCTACTTTAATGTTAAAGTAGTTTCTTTTGAAAATACTGATTAGTATGTGCCAGGCACCATTCTATTTTGTCTTATATAAGTAATGCTAGTAATCCTCACAATAGCCCTGTGCAGGAGATATTAATTATTATTATTCTCACTTGATAAATGAGAAAAGTAAGATATGAAAAGGTTAAGAACTCGGCAAGTTCTCGTAGTTGCCGAAAGGTGAACACAAGATTCGAATGCAGCTCTCGCTTCAGAGCCTCTGCCTTGAGCCACTGTGACATATCCTGCCTCTCACAAAAAATCTTTAGTAGCATAATGAAACGAGAAAGAAGACTTTGTGCATTAAAAAGCAAATTTGTCACATTTCAACATATCTCTGGAACCAAAAATAAATAACCTACTCTAAATTTACACATGTCTCAGAAACCATATGCCTTGTAAACCACCAGGGACACAGACGAGGATATCCAATAATTATGAAAATTAAACAAAAGGTCATTGTAGCTCCCCCCATGGTTACTGTGGTACTTTGGTGCTCTTATTTACAGATGAGGCAGTCTCTTTCTTCCTCTCCCCACATTCCCAAGTTGTAAAAAGGTAGAGAAGAGATCCTGTGTTTTAGATGATGTTTACTATTTTTTTTTTTAGTTGAGCAGGAAATCATTATCTAAGCCCAGCCGCAAATATGTGCAACAAAACAATTTATCTACCAAG